CCCGACATCATTCAACGGGCTCAGGAGCTGATTTTTGAGGATCCAGGGCAGTCGATCCGAAAATTGTTGTCGGTTGTTGGTGTGAGCGAGAAAACTATGCGTCGAAGAGAAATCATCGAGGAGGACCTTCGCTACAAGTCTTACACAATTAAAGTGAGACAGATGCTTTCCGAAGCTGTTAGGATAAAGCGAGTTGAATGCTGCAACCTGCTTTTGTGTTCCTTAAAACACAATGCTGCCGGACGACTCAAGTTTTTTTCTGACGAGAAAATTTTTACTGTGGATGCGAAAATCAATCGAAGGAATGACCGCTGGCTCGCCCACAACCCTGAAGATGTCCCCATTGTTGCAAGAACGAAATTTCCGGCGAATGTTCACGTGCTAGGTGTTGTGTCCAGTGAGGGTGATGTCATGCCACCGCATTTTTTTAACAAAGGGGAAAATGTCACAAAAGAAGTTTATTTGCGTGTTCTGACAAATGTAGTGAAGCCGTGGATGGAAACTGTGTCGTCTGGAAAGCCATATGTTTTCCAGCAGGACGGTGCGCCCGCCCACACAAGTCATTTGGTGCAAAATTGGTTGTTGGACAACATCGACATGTTTTGGTCGAAAGAATTCTGGCCTCCCAACAGCCCAGATTTGAATCCTTTGGACTTCTACGTATGGGGCGTGGTTGAAAGGTCACGACCAAGTCCAGACATCCAAACGTCGCATCATTGAGAGCCGCTATTGAAGCGGTATTCACCGATATGGACCGTGACACATTAAAGCGTGCCTGCGTATGCTTCAGACCGAGAATGGAGGCGGTCATTTAAGCAAGCGGGGGATATATTGAGTGAATATGTTCTTTATGGCCTTACAAACAATGGAGGTAAACAAATTTTGTAAACCTTTTCATTGTAGCAATAAAACATATGTTTAGAAAAAATGTATGATTTGTCCAGATTTTGGCGCCGCACCCTGTACATATTAGTGAAATTTAATGTACTTTTACGAATATTAATAATATTTTAATTAATCCTAATACTATTAACGCTTAACGTTTAATACGTTTACGTTTCTTATAGGTCATTAACGTAAATTACTTTTCAGTAACAGATCTCGTACTTTTCATTAACGTGTAAATTGATTTCTATAATAATGTGTTCATTAATTTCAATACACACGTTCATCACATTTAAAAGTACTGTAATTTAGTTTTTATTTACATCATTCATTACATTTAATTTCGTGCATAACCACATGCTTCCTTTACATGTTAATTAAAATTCATTGAGAAATTTCTAACAGTGTACATTATGGTCATAACGACCATAATATTTATTCATTTAACTACATTGTATGGTTATTTTATACATAAAATATGGTAAATTGTACTATAAAATATTGTAACAACAAACAGAATTAAAAGTACGTACAACCATACATCTTTTTGGTAAACCATACTCATATCAATAATAATATTATACCTTTAATGTATGATAATATCTACTATGTGTTTAAGGCCCCAACAAGATATGTATAAAAAGTTATTTCAATCATAATTAAAAGTAAGAGGAACCATACACCTTAATAGTAAATCATACTTATATTAATAATGATATGTTACTTTTTATATATGTATAATTAAATCTACTATACTTACATGGTATTACAAATTAATTACCAATATTACAAATTACCAATATTAATTACCAATATTACAAATTAAAAAAGTTTGTCCAACCATATAAATAGTTTTAATTAGCAATTTTTTTTTACGAAACTTGACTATAATAATATAATTGAAACAACTTTGAAGTAATTAACAATACAATAATAAAATTGTATTATTGTATTGATTATGATTGAAAGTCCGTTATTTACACATTTACATAATGTTTTTTAATAATTATTTGAGACAACTATGTTGGGGATAACAAAATAAACATTTATATTAATTTTTCTGACAGTTTATTATTACATAATTTGTTTATAATAAATATTAAATGAATACGTATACAAATACATTTTTTAATATCAAAATCATATATCACACTTACAAAATTACAAATTATTGTATATTGAACACATAAATCATAAAAAAATATTCCATAGAAAAAAATTGCAATTTAATATAAGTTTAATTATTACATATAATAAGGTGCATTGAAACCATTTTATAACTTAACACAATTTGGAGTTATAATTGCATAACTACAAATATGACGTGATATTAGAAAGCATTATACTGAATGCATACTGTGGCGAAAACAAAGCGTAATAGCAAAAAGGAGTGCAATTTAAATGTAAAGTGAGAGTTACAGAAATATATAAGCAAACGTTTTAAGGAGTATAGATTGAAACAATGGAACGTAAAAGAAACCTAAAGCGTTTACGAAGCGTTTTGACATTTTTAGCGCTTTTTTTACATTCCATTGTTTTAATCTACGTTCCTTTGAACGTTTGCTTATATATATCAAAATTATATATATTTACGCATTGTAACACAAAATTATAAAATTATTTTGAACACACAAAGATCAGCATAAAAAAACATTGCATAGAAACAATTACAATTTAATACCAGTTTTACTTATTTTCACATATGAGATGCATTGAAACCATTTTGTAACTCTCCACTTACATTCTACTTACGCTTTATGCTTTATTTTCGTCAGGGCACAGTCGAATAATAAAAAGAATATATTGTTCACAAACTAATATAACAGTTATCATCTGCTTTTTGAATCAGTGTATATATTTTGAAATATACTAAAGAATTGAAAGAAATAGTATTATAATTATCTGAAACATTTATATTGTATGCTTGATAGTGATCATCAAAGTACGTTGCAAACAAATATTTTACGGTAGCAATGATGTCTGATGGAGTTAATGAAACTATATTTGCCTCTTTTTTGAAAATGTGTAAAATTTCTGCAAATAAAGGATAATCGTCGTTATCAATATTTACTAAAACAATCGAGCCTTTTTTAATCATTACGTTTCCGTAACAAACACTTTTCAATGTGGTGCAATTTGTATAGTCGTTTACTATCGCATTTTCAAGAGAAACTGACAAATTACTTTTTTTGAATGTTATATATGGTAAATTATTTAATTGCAATTTCATGAATAAATTGCTTAGCATTATACTCGTACATTCCGCATAATTTGTATATACCCGCATACGATCCTAGTGGATTTGGTGTTTCGAAAGCATCTTCGTATAAAAACAAAGGGAAAGTTATTGATTCATTATTTGAGATTTTCGATTTCCAAAAATTAGTTTATACAATATTACAAATTTCGTCGTTTGTATTTTCATTCAGTGTTGTAATATATACTTACAAATGTTTTTTTCAAATGTATCAGATGTTTCGAAAAATGCTTTTAATACTTTTTTCAATGAAACCAATTGTCCATATACATTTACAGTTTTTAATGCATTCTCATTTTTTACTTCCATAGTTTCAAAGAATACACTTGCAGGTTTAATATAATATCCAAGATTGATTAATAATTTATTTCGTTTGTATTCACTATCAAGATTTTTAAAAACATTTTGTAATATTTCAAACTGCTCAACTATGTTGCTTGAATTTGGTGACTCTATAAGAGATGTAGATTTTTTCAGATTATTTATATAGTTTATACTAAGAAATGAATGAAATAATCATGTAATCCGATTAATTTGTATTTGAGATAAGGTAGCATCTGATTCCAGCGAAGAAATTATTTTCAATGCAAATGTGTGAAGATTATTTTGTTCACTTATAGTATTCAAATTTTTATTACAAATTGTATCATTATCAGATTCAATTTTGTTGTTAATATTTTCTATTTTTAATCTTGTGTCTTTGAAATTTGATTTTGGAAATATTTGAGAATCTACTCGAATTATGTCATTAAAACTATTTTCTCATTGTTTTGTTACATCTAGCATCGGCTTTGCAGAATCAGATTCTAACACTGTTCCTTTCCAATGTTTGCAACGTGTTTGATGCTTAACAAGCATTTTATAATTTGAATAAAAACGATCACAATTTTTGAATCGACAAGAATATTTTCCATAACTGAAATGTGCATGATGTTTATATTCCGTATGTAATTTAAATTATTTTTTAGAAATATAGTTAGAACAAAATTAATACTTTATCATTTTTAAAAACGTATCTATCGATGTAAATGCACTAAAAAGCAGATGATTTAAGTTTTATTTAAAAGAATCATGTTAACACATAAAGGATTATAATTGTTTAAATTATTCTTGTTGTGAAGAGGATTGTGAACCAGACATTAATTCTTGTATGTTATTCCAAACGATATCGATAGAAATAAAATTTTTCGAGTGCATTTTTCATTAACAATACCATATACATGGTACTGTAAAAAGTACCATATCATTTCAGAATCCACTGGATACTTTGCATCTAGTGCAAAGAAAGCTTGGAAGCACAAATTCACTGCGCTCATTAGACTTGTCGATACATATTTTTAATATCGGGAATGGGAATAAGTTTCCGTCCATTGTAGAAAGATGTCGTTAGTAGCATTGCTTGTGTGTTCGATAGAACGGCAACACATGTGTTTGAAAGGTTTGTGTTCAAACTTTTGAGCCCAATAGTTGGCATTCGTTCGAAGCGTAAAAAAGAGTAACTTTTTTTGCGTTGAAGATGTCGGAATTTATTCCAAA